CATATCTCCATTACGTGCGCTCGTGAAGTTGGAGGCAATATTTTCTAAAGTGGGTGGGACTGGTGTAAACTAATGGTTGTTGCCATGATCTTGTGCATGTAGGCAAAACATGTCATGATCTCTTCTACTACTCTGTTCTTGCGTCTAAACCCAACGTCGACAAATCTAGAACTTTGGTGTTATTAACCGTTCAACCATTTCCTCATATAAGGACTCAACTAATTGGAATATCAAAGCATCAATGCAAACCTTTATTAAGGTGCTGTATGTAAAAACGTCGGGCTGGCAATGAGGGAGGGTCTTCATCCGGTTGAGAATAGAAAATGCCTCATCAATTAGATTTAGGCATACACTATATGCTGGTCTTCATAGTAGTTCAAAATTTTATTATAAGAAAAGTTCCAATATTCGAATTCCATAATAGTGACTCAAAATATTTTATGAATATATTCCTCTGAAAAAAATATATAAATATATATAGATTCTGCAGTAGCATTCCAACAGCCAAAGTCCAAGAATTTGACATGGTCTAGTTCTGTGGTTCCTACAAGTTGTTTTAGTTGCAAAAAATGTCAAACAGCTAGCTAGTCCTCGAATCTGTGGGCAGAATTTCATGAGCATAAACCAAGTGCACAAATTTAACCTAAAAGGGCCTATCTTTCTACATACGCATCTCTATCTCTATCTCCTTTTAGTGCCCACCACTATTTTCTGGTGCTTGTGTTTTCAACATCCCACACCACACCAAGACAAGACTATGTATTCGCTTAAGTTTCAATTCAACCAGCCAAACCAGAAGAGGACAAATGTGTTTGTCTGTTTACGTTGAAAAAAGCAAGTTCCAACAAAAAAATTATTGGAGGTGTTGAATTTGTAGAATAAAAATAATGAATTGTTGGTGCGAAAATGTAGACAGATTCTTGTAACTATTTTACATTGATGGTTCAGCTCAAGCTCCTCCAGGATAACATTCTAATTTGGGTGATAAAATTCTCTAGGATCCACTTTGATGGGCTCCTTTGGGCTGGAGTTCCCTGTGGGAGATTAAATAAAGGCCCAAGGCCTCACTTCACCACTTATTTAATCTAGGGAAAAATTTTCTTATGGTCCATGTAGTTTGCGGCCGGATTTCCCCTTTGGTTCTTATAGTTTCAATTTTGACTTGATTCCTGTAGTTTGATATTCATCGTAATTTAAGGACACGTATAAATTTCTGTTCAATTTCGTGATGGAATAAGTAAGTATCCCTCATGTGGAGGTGTATTATGAAATTGAACGGAAATTTGGACGCGTCCTTGAATTGCGATGGATATCAAACTACATGGGTCAAATTAGAATTGAAACCACAGAGACAAAAATAGAAAATTCGAAAAACTGCATTGACAAAAAATGACCTTTTTGCCTTTAATCTACCACGAAAGCACTTGTAAAGTTGTAATACTTGCGTCCCTTTGTGAAAACTCAGCCTCATTTTTTTTGTTTTTTATATAAGCAATATTGGTTGAGAGGAGAATCAAAAACACAATCTCAAGTAAATGCGTAAATGCTCTTACCTATTTGAGCTACAAGTCCCTTGCAACTTAGCCTCCATTTTTCTCGTATGCCAAACTTTTAATCTTGTTTTAAGGCCTTGAGTAACAAGAACAGCATCAGATGTAATATGATTCGCATTAATGATGCTGCTACTCAAGATTTTCAATTTAAAAGGGTGGTTAGGTTCATATTCTCTTTCTGGGAGGCCTTATTATGTAAGAAAGTTGAAAATCACCAGACAACCTTGGAGACTACTTGCACTTGGGAATAAATTACAACAGCTTTTCCAGATGAAAAAGGCTTTCTGTGCACAATGCCAGTTGCAAAATGAATTGACATATTTTGTTTCTGCCTAATTGGGACCATTGAGTTTCTGAGAACTTGTTTACTAATTCAAGCTCTAAGCAAATGCTATAACATTTATAGTAACAAATAAACATGATGTAAAACTCAAATGAGCTCATCAAATCCCATCTAATTTCAACCATAAATGATTTTTTTTTTCTCTTGTTTATGCCTCAGAGTATGCACTCTATATACTATTGGACACTGCTTGCCTCCTAGCCTCGAAAGAGACATTCATAATTTCTGTAAATCACAGTTTGATACCTAAGCAATTCATCAAAACACAAAAAGAAAAATGTATGCACGCATGTAAAGCTATGATTAGCAGGAAAGAGTTCCTACTTCGAGAGGAAGGAGACAAGTATTTTGATATAATATTTTCCTTCTTGTTTCTTCTGTATGGCTGGTATATGACAGGAATTTCTGTCTAGCTAATTGGCATTAGTACATGTCTTATTAAGTTATTATCAACCATATTACGTACCGCTTAAGGCATAATCATAAAACATAAATGAATATTCGTTGAACTGGTCCGCCGGCTACTAACATATATGATATATATATGTTTTAAGCAATTAACTATAATTATAAACTTTGATGGACGTTTTTAACAAAGCTAAACCTCGACCTTGTCATACTCAGACAACAATAATATAACCCAACGTACTGTTCTATTTATTTGCTCCATGTTACACCAAACTTTAGTGTACCACATTTGCAACAATGTCTACTGAAGAATTCTCCGGCGATGATCAGCTCTATACCGACGGAAGTATGAATGGTTTTGATGCCAAAACCGGAATATATCATGCCCTGCCCAAACTCGGTCACCGTCACAAAATCCCCACCAGGCATGACCTTGACACTGCCACATTTGTACTGTCACAGTTCCCACCCCATCACCAGGCCAAGTCACGAGTTGCACTCATTGACTCAACCACCAACCAGCGTGTCACCTATGCACAGCTTCATCACTCAATTCAGTGTCTTGCCTCAGGCTTGTACCAGGGACTTGGGGTTAGAAAAGGGGATGTGGTTTTTCTCTTGTCCCCAAACTCACTTCTGTACCCAACAATATGCCTGGCAGTGCTATCCATTGGTGCAGTTTTAACCACTGCCAATCCACTCAACACCAAGTCAGAAATCGGTAAGCAAGTTCGTGACTCGGGTGCCAAGCTTGCTATTTCAGCTCCTGAGGAGCTTCACAAGTTGGCCCCAACTGGGGTGCCTACAATTTTAACATCGAGGCCATTGTTGACTGGAGACAACTCTCTGTGCATTGAAGAATTGATTGAAGGCTGTGATCCAATTCCAACCGAGCTAATACAAGCCCGCCCAACTCAGTCGGACACTGCTGCTATTTTGTACTCTTCAGGGACTACTGGGACAAGCAAAGGTGTAGTTCTAACACATGCAAATTTCATTGCCGTTATGACAACGCTTAGATGGACTGTGGACGGGACATCAGCTCAAGATGATGTGTTTCTGTGCTTCATTCCTATGTTCCACATCTACGGGCTCGCTTTCTTTGGTCTTGGATTGTTTTGCTCAGGAACCACCACTGTTTTGATGCAAAAGTATGAGTTCAACACCATGTTGGATGCTATAAAAACTCACAAGGTGAGTAACATACCTGCCGTGCCGCCGGTGATTCTTGGACTAGTAAAGCATGCAAGCAAAGCTGCGTGTGACTTGTCATCGTTGAGGAGGGTAAGTTCAGGAGCTGCACCATTGAGCAAAGAAGTAGTTGATGAGTTCAGAGAGAGGTTCCCTTGGGTCCAGATGAGGCCGGGCTATGGCCTAACAGAAAGCTGTGGTGCAGCAACGTTTTTCATTTCGGATGAACAGGCTAGGGCTCACTCTGCCTCTTGTGGGTTGTTGCTGCCAACCTTTTGTGCTAAGATAGTTGATATTGAGACTGGAGAGGCCTTGCCACCATATAAGGAAGGGGAGCTGTGGATGAAAAGTCCTACTATTATGAAAGAGTATTTGGGGAATGTGGAAGCAACAGCTGCAACAGTTGATTCAGATGGGTGGCTGAAAACTGGGGATCTTTGTTATTTTGATGAGGATGGGCTTCTTTACATTGTTGATCGGATCAAGGAGCTCATCAAGCATAATGGGTATCAGGTAAAACTCATCTTATCACCAATACTTTACTTGAATGGATATTTGAACCAATATTTCACATTACGACTGATGTTTGTATAATTAACCAAACAATAATGTTAGAGCGATCACATTTTTAGACCGGATTAGCTACCGCATGTGTGACAATTGATGTTAATTCACTGCCTCATCAAGTGGTCAGCAAGTATGACCAAAGTGTGATCTCTCTAGCATTTTTCTACAAATTGAATAGTTTTCCAAATGTCAAGAAATAGACACAAGCTAATCATAATTGATTTAAGCACTCCAAATTAAACAGTTTGAATCATTGTGCAGGTTGCTCCGGCAGAATTGGAGGCAATACTTTTGAGTCACCCTCAAATTCTTGATGCAGCGGTTATACCGTGCGCCACTTAGCACTCTCTCCCTGTCATTCTCTATTTCTATCTATATCTGTTTCTTTCCATAATACAAAAAACAAACTGCAGGGTTGAAGATGAAGAAGCAGGACAAATACCAATGGCATATGTGGTGAGAGCAGCTAGTCCAGATGGACTCACTGAAGACCAAGTCATTCAATTTGTTGCCGGCCAGGTCACTCTTTGTAATTTTGCCTCTTTTTTCTGTAGCCATCAGTCTAAGAAACACTGTTTTAACTTTTCTATTCGGAAATTTCAGGTGGCCCCATACAAAAAAGTAAGAAGAGTTGGGTTTATCTCCGCCATTCCGAGGTCACCTGCAAGTAAAATCTTAAGGAAGGAACTGGTTAATTTACAAAGCAAAGAGCAAATAGTCTCCAGATTGTGATGTTTTCTTCCTCTGCCATTCCAAGGTCATCTGCAGGCCCAACTCCTTTTACAAAATTCCAGGAGAAGCTAGAAACCTGGAGGACCTTTAGAAAGTCAAACGTGCGATGGCCTGCTAATGCATGAGCGAACATAATTAGTACCCTGTTTAAATATATAGAGGATAATGCAGTTATAAAAATAAAGATTAAGGTGGAAAGAGTTAGATTGCAAAGCATGTGATTGTCATTTGAATCATACAATTGAGTTTTTTACATTTGAAGAACCAATCCATGTTCTCCACTTTAAGAACCAATCCAATTCTCCTCTCACTTAATTAATATCGCCAACACATACTGCTCACTAATCAAATGTTTGAGTTGAAGCAATTCAATGAGAGGTCCTGAAGACTAATGACCGGAATGAGCCCCTGAATCTGTGGTGCTTTTGGTTGTAAAAGAATATTAAATTGGGAAAAAGCTATATAGCTTAGCTCCAAAATGTTATAGACCCAGATATTTGAAGGCAAGCAGATTTCTTGTGTAACTCATATCTAGTCCTCCAGAAACTAGCCTTGTCATGTTGTTCTTAGAGCATAGCAAAATAGAGTTATGCCTGTACAACAGATGACAGATCAGTCAGTAACCGGTTCAGACAAGTCAAGTCACAAAGAGAAGGAAAAACCAAGTACCAGAAACACACCCCAACAAGATACTGGGAAATGTCCAAGTCGTATTCCTAGAACACAAAAAGTAGTTGCTGTTATCTCCTATACTCCTTACATACCATTTTGGATATACATTACAAGGAAATAAATCATTTTTGGCATATATGAGGCCCTTAGAATAATGATAAAATTTATACATGAAGACATATAAATTACATAGAGAGTCTGCAATACCAACATAAAAAGCATCAACCAGAACATTTTGGAACTCTCATATTATCTCTTTCCAACCTAGGAGTTCCCTTGAAACGATGTCTGAGAATTTGTCTTTCCAACTGATTCAGCCAGATGGACAGTGTTAATTGCTTAATGTTGAAACGAAAACAACTAAACTCATCTGGAGAATGATTCCTCCATGTCATGCCCCTACATTCCAATTTACTTTGACAACCACCAAATAAGAGAGATACCAGGGAACTGGTTGATTACTAAAGCATAAAGTCTTTAATTTCCTTATTTTATTTTTCGGAACCAGGAATAATAAGTTTTCTAAAAACTACCCAGTTCTGCTATTAGAATTACAAACAAAGAACAGAAGAAGAATCAGGTCATAATTGGTGACTGCAACTTTATGAAAAAATATAGTTGGAGCATGGGATTGCATGTGCCTACATGGAAATGTTATTATTTCTACAAATCTTATTGGAGAAGTTTCTTCCTTGTTCTGATCTACAGGCATTTTAAAGACACTATTAAGCAGAAGCAATAGTGCACCACCACAGAAGGTTCCTAAATTAATTGATAACCCCTCTCAAATCCGCCATTAAATGAACTCCTAGCCTCTTTTTCTCACTCTCCATCTTTAGTTTGGACCAACAACATAAATCAGCTAGGAGATATGAAACCCCATGAAACAACTAAAAGGTAATATGGCAAGTGCAAGTTTTCAAGACTTTCTTAGAGTTCAGATTAGCTCAGAGATTTTCATGTTCTAACATAATCCTGGTTTCAGCACAAGATGAATTATGAGATGGATAATTAATATGGCATAAATAATCCTACAAAAGTTATATCACTGACTAGCTAGCTATTATTAGAACAGAATTAAGCCTGTGAATGCTTGGGTCAATAGTTAATGAGTAAAATCACGGGTTATAAACATAGACAAGCATGATCTATTTTCAAACAAATACCAAATGATTTTGTATAAAAACAAACAGAAGGCTGCAATGATGCAGCCTCGTAAACTACAGAGTAAAATTTCACAGATCAAATAAGAGATCCTTTTTCCAACCACAAAATCATACATGTTAACGATATTAAAAGGGATATCTTAATTGGGAACTACAAATTACCGCATTGTGGTCTGTGAGGGCACACATTCTTGACTGAAGGGCTCAACTCAAGTTATTTAAGAGATGAAACATGTTTCATACAAGGATAACCCAGTCTCCATCCATAATTCCATCCCTAAATCTGACTGTATTCCTGAAACCTTGAATTACCAATTTCAACTTCCATTCTCCAAGTTCTCTAACATTGGGATAACCCAGTCTCCATCCATTATACCATCCCCATCTACTTTGAACTCCTTGATTTCCTTTTGAGCTGGCATTTCTCTAGTATTTCGACTCCCTAGGAAAACAAGGTCCAACATTTTCCTCCGAACATCATATATCGGATTAGACTGAATGAGGCACCCTTTACTATATGCCTCTCTAAGAAAAACAGTTAAACTATTACGTCTGGTTGATATGTAAAAAATTCCAGGGTGCTTCAGGATAAGCTCACGCACATTAACATCCATGGCGAAATCCCTCCGAAAATGAGCTAACCTTTCAACCTCAACCATCTTCTCTGCTGTCAAACTCAAGAACTCATGAAGAATACCAACCGCCCGTTTCTCATACCTCTCAATCCCTCCACAAGTACGAATGCGGACAGACTCTTTCCTGTCATAAGGCTTCACATAAGGAAGTCTTTGCCAATTCTTCAACTTATCTCTAAACCCAGCCTGGATCTCAAACCCCGTTGGGAAATTGATAGGGAATGCATACTTTGTCTCGAACTCACTCAACCACTTCTCTCTAAATTCCTTCTCTCTCCATTTCTCAATTTCAGCCACGTCCAAATTTTCATCTCTACTAATCAATTCTACAACCTCTAAATCAACCAACTTAAAATCCTTCGAATATTTACCAAGAATGGATTCCCTGAAATCCACAGGCAACCCCAATTCTCTCCTAACCAACCTCAAAGCATGGAGATGAAGAGTGCCACTCACAGACATCATCAATAACTTCTTTACCCGATGGACAACTTCCAGCTCCAATTGTTTCATAGCATCTGCTTCTTCCTCTATTAAACCCATCATTTTCTTGCTTATCCTACAACACAAATTGCGCCGTGCCGGATGTGTAAACACCTCAAAAACATGTGGGTATTTGTGAACAAAGGCGCCAATGCCGACATTAAGCCCCACGACGTTCCTCCATCGGGACATTAGCTGTAAGGAAACAAATGGTCCGCGCTTCCGACTGGACATGAGGACATGGAGTTTTAAGATGATATCGAGTTTCTTGAGGTGGGTTGTGAGCTTGTCTAGGTTTGAGTCCCTGGTTCGATCTTCTAAGCGTGTTTGGGCGGAAATTATAGGCTTTCTCCACCTCTTTTGCACAAATGAATTGAAGGGGCCAAACGGGGTCACTTGTGAGCTTAATGAGCAAGCTTTGAACTTGAAGAGGCTGAGTTTGGAGCTTTCTAACAGCCTCATGGGGTCTGATTTGTCGGGGGTTGAGCTCCAAAACTTGAAAAGTTTTGAACTTTCTTCAGCTCAAGGCCCACAAGAACCAAACTCTTTGAATCAAACAAAATTCGAGAAAAGGAAAACGAAGCAACTTTTTATTTCATAGAGAGTGAGCTAGCAAGAGACAGAGAGAAGGCTGACCGGTTATCGGAGGGCTGATCAGTGATCGTCAATATGAGCTTGGAAAACCAAGGCTTATGCATTTACAGAGTAAAGAGAACCTCTGCAAACTGATGCATCGATGTTTGAAATTGCAACGACGAAGAGTTAACCAGAGGAGCAACGAACCTTTAATTATTGTAATTTGAATTTTGTCAATTTTACCTTTTAGTTACTTTTTCATTACCCCCTTGTCAAATATATATTTTTTATTTTTTCATTAATAAGGAGTATTATATTGGGTTGTCTTCCACATGAATTTAACCGGATGTACTAAAGAAGGATTGGGAGAATTGACCCACTTTTTCACTGCGTTGCCACCTCATGTGCACGTGTCAAATATTTAATTTTCATCAATTTATATAAACACCGTCACCGTGAGCGTCACAACTCACATGCACTAGTCGGAAGAACTCTATTCGGAACGAAGAATTACCCACTCATACTCAATTATTGTTGCATGAATCAAGGATGATCACAACTAGAATGCTAGGTGAGTTGGAAATAAAAAAAATTAAAAAAAAAAGATGACATAACAATCTTCAATGGTGTTAAAAGCTCTAGGAATTGGCTCTAGAAATTGCCAGAACTTGTTCGGAATTTGTGTGAAATCTGTTTAATCAATTTGACTGAGGTAATTGTGGTGAGGACATTTCTCTCTTCTTCTAAAGTCGTTTACATATCAGCAACCTTAGCGGCTAGGATTGCTTGGAGTACAGTTCGGGCTAATTACCTGTTATAAATGCTACTACAAATCCTCATGAAATCAGGCCCAAACATGCAGATTTTGGCGCAAATGCATCCTCTCCCTACTCTTAATGAGTTCTTTAGGGTCCAGATTCATTCCAGAGAGAGATGAGTTGCACAAATGCAAAATTGATCCACCACAGCTGCTCAAGCTTCAGCCACCAAAGCTGAGTTTCATAGGAACAACCTTCCCATAGTAAAATTGATCATCATGGTTGCGAACAATCAATCCCAATCCAGTCAATTCTCATTGTAATAAAATAGATTTCAGATTTGAAATCTCAATCCTTCTAGTAATTCAATTTGCGACAGTATTTGTAAATTTGTAACACACAAAACTTGACCGACTTTAATCAAAGATTAGTGTAATGACGAGTTGGATTGGCCAAAAGAATTAAATATCACAAACCTTTACCGAGGCCGTGAGAATAAAAACACTTCGAACAACTGTATCTGACAAATCCTTACTCACGATCACTTCAGACAAGAATAAAAATCTGAAGATACAAAAAAATGATCAAATGACTGATTATGGAATCCAAACAACAATGCTTTTACAGAAACATATTCCTATCTTAGACTGTATTTTTCATCCTTTTACTATCTTAATACGAAAATCTTACTGTAGGGTCATCACTTCGAGATTTTCCATTCCGACAAAATGCAATTAGTTTTACATATTCTTCCGCCAGGCCACTGCTGAGATCTGCCCGAGTTTCTTGAGAGAGCTGTCACAGATAACAGTTATAGGTGCTCCTCCCCAATTCAATATTTTGGAACCGACTTCCATTTTTTCCCCTTTTTTTCAGGACTTCATGCACCGCCCTTACAACTTTTATGCATCGCTGCCGCCACCCCCAGCAATCCACCGCCAAACCCCGCCAGAACCTTGTCTCTGAGCAGATGAGGCAAGCTCCATATCTTGTTCCAATGCAGATTTTTGTCCCCGAAGTGCCTGTACTTCATCCTCAATGGACTGCACTGATTCCAGTTTCTTTTGTAGTTCACTGATTTGAGCCTACAAATAGAATATTGAAAAAGAATCAGCCACCATGTAAAACAAATTCCATCTGTTGAAGGGCACGTCAATAATTGACCCAAGCCAAATAAGAAAAAAAAATACAAATGATGGAAGGAGAAACCTCCAATTTAAAGCATCTTGATCTCTCAGCTATTAGTTGCCCTTGGACTGAGTGAAGTTCCTGAATGGGAAAGTTGAAAGGATGAAAAACTCTAAAACATGATAATCACCTTGCTAACTAGTGCATCTAAGGAGCATACCTTGGACAACTCAGCATGAGTATTGTTGACTTCTTCAATCTCCTGCCCGAGCCTAGAATTTTCTGTCTTGACTTCTGAAAGCGACAATTCCAGCACGCTTTTCTCCTCTGTAAGGGTTTCTAGGTCAATTGTGAAATCTTGTTCATAATGATGGTTTTCAGTCCCCTTGGAGTTCAATTCTGCTGTCTTGAAATCTAATTTGTCTATTTTAGTTAAGGCATATGCAGCAGTGACAGAAGCTGCTGCTGCAGCTGCTGCTGGTGACTGGAATATCTTTGGTTGTAATGAGTCCCTCGGTTTGGGCATCATTACAAAAACCTGTAAGAAAAGAAGAGGAAAGAAATCAAATAAGAGAACAAATTACATTGACAAAATACAATGAAAATTCATGGAAAAACAGCTGTCTGCAAACTCAGAAGAGAGAACATTAGGCATCGATTAGGCTGTAAGATTCGGCATCTAGTATTAGAGTACTACGCAGGAAGTTAACAAATAACCAGGCTATCACTCTAAATGGTAATTGTCCAGCATAAAGAGAGTATAAAACATTATGCACTGAGTTCTAATTTCCTTGTCCAGCATCTCTTATTACCTCTTTATATATGATATATATATATATATATATATATATATATAATATTGTGTGCTCAGTTCTAATTTTCTTATTTATGTCAAATGCATCCATGTTCCATTTCATTGCTAAGACACCAGAAAGGACTATTTTTCAACCTTCTAATTACAAAAGAATACAGGACAAAGATCAGATAATAGGATTGGGGCTCAATCTTTAGTGTAATAAATACCCTTTTGGCACTACAGAGGGCAAGTGCATGCCCATCAGGATAGCAGCTTCTTTTTGGAGGGTAGGTTCCACTCATTCCTTACCCTTTTAGAGGGAGGTATAAATCTTTGATAGAAACCCCACCACAAAGTTGGTTCTAGGATTGGTGATCATAAACTATCATTTTTCTCTTTCTTGGTTTTTATTATGTTCTTTTCTGTAACCATTATGCATCACCATATGCACAGTAACTGCACAACTGTGGGAGATCTTTTGTTTCAGAAAGTGTATCTTTGTCCTATTCTCTTCTCTAGCTACACACCTTAGAGAACTGGTACAACAACAGTAGAGCCTTTTGAGATAGCACAGACAACTAGCAAATAAATGCACATAAAGACAATTTATTTAACCAGTCGAATGCACAAATTTGACCATGTTGAACTATACTACCGGAGATTTTTCTTTTCTAAAAGGTGCCATTCTCAAACAAACTTGGATGGAGTTGCAACTTTTACATAAACAAGCTCCAAGAAAACTTTAAGCCTGACTCAAATTATTTTTATCCTGACTTGTTTTAGGGTGGTACTACAAATCATCATGTCCACTTTCCCATTGCTACCTCAAGATGAGTATCAGTGTATCACATGAGTACATGAACCCTTTCACTTTGCTTTCATCTAGATGTTGATCGCCATGGCCCGTGTATCTCAAGTAGACACCATATCCACTTATCAGATTAGACAACTTCAATTATGAGTCATGTGGAAGTTACTGGTCACAAAACTAACGTTACTGCACTTTAAATATGCAAAATATAATGCACTTGATAACTTGTATTCATACAATATAGACTTGTGAGTAATGAACATGAAATTTGTCATTAACATACCTCATTGCTATAGTTCCCATTATAGCCACCAAAGGCAACCAAATGCTTCTTTCCATCAATAGTCACTGAGCAGACACTGAGTCCCTGTTTCCAAACCATATTCTTAAGTGCAAACCGATATAATAGAATTTCATGTTTACTCATATTAGAGTATTGACACTCAACCCTAACAGATACAGACTATACGAAAATGAACAGAGACTTTTTTCAATGACGTACATGACTAAGTAATAGGCACAGACAAAACACAAGCAGAAAGAAATATTAAATAAAGAATTGGACCTTTAACCAAATTCTATATTCTTAAGGGGCTTTTTCAAAAGAGGGGAGCTTTGTTTTCCCCAAATACTAAGATCTCATCAATATTCTATCACATTCTATTTCTCCTTTATTTTTCTTAACATTTTATCTCTCTTACTTCACATGCTTATTCCTGTTTCCTTTACCTTTATGTATATTTTACAGTGTCAGAAATGTTTCGGGACGCATTTAATTTCTTTATAGCACTCCATATTTTCTAGTGGAATTATTGCTTAAGAATATTCGCATTGTCATCAGTAGCATAGTTTGTGAAAAGGGCTAAAAGCTTTTTTCTTTTCCTTTTGAGGATTGAAAGAATGAGCCGCTGAATGAGAAGAATTTAAAAGGTATAAAATCTAGCCAATTATGCAGGTGTGTATGGCATATGTATCCTTTCCATCCCGTATATTACTAACTATGATCACTGCCATGTTCCTGAAGTATTTTTATGGAACTGTATCTCAACCCATGTAGTCATATATAATCAAAGAAAGGAACAGACCTCACTTGCAAGTGCATCCCTGTGCTTCACACTGGTTGGCACTGACCACACTAGCTTAGACATATTTAATACCAGAGTTTCTGGGCAACCTGTAACATTTAATAGTTTGTATCATAAAAGCTAGCAAAGGAAATGTATCAACAAATCAGTAAAAGCCACAAGAGTACACATTAAGTGAATAAGTTGTTTCATTATAGATTTCAGTAAAGCATATAATTATGCATACCATTTTTGTTATCTCCGCCGCCAACTATATACCAGTTTTCATCAATTGTTATACCAGCATGACCAGCCCTAGGAGTGACTAGTTCACCCTGAACTTGTGGTTGGGACCACTCCATCTGAAAAATAATGGCAAATTGTGGGGAAGAAACAAAAAAGATTGATAATACAACAATTAATATGTGCAGCTGAAAAAGCATTGAGAATCATATTGTTGATATAGGACGAAGTAATTACATTTTCAAGATATGAATGAAAACCTTCAAAACTATGCTCCTCTCAAACTATAAATAATAAGTTCAACAAAAACTCTAACATCCCAGGATGTGTGGGATATGGTAGAAGGCAAATGGACAGACTCAGCAATTAAATACTTTGCTCTTCATCATAACCTAATTCTCTTATTGTCCAAAAACCCGACAAGAACTTCTATTTGATGCATGCAGCCCACTACTGATTCGTATGATGTTTGAATCTTCTGATCTCAAGAGAGTATACAGAGAGCAAAAAAAAAAAAAACATGAATCTTCTTTCATTTAATTAAAGGGCCGGATAGAAGCAAAAAATTTGAGAAGCTTGAATTCATACATAGAAAAATAGCTCTTACAATAAATATCAATTTTGGTATAAATCTAAAGTGAAAATAATTTTCAATATGGTCTCAGAAGGGTTGGTAGGTAATAGTTGTCTTGCCAGACAACATAATAATTACCAACTAACAACGTTCTACATTGAATTTGAACAATGACCTCCAATATGCTTCTAGCCCAGAAATCCACTTGTCAACAGAAAAATAACAAATTAAAACATTTTAACATGCACAGGTATTGTACAGAGCACAGTTTGTAGACTAGTTTTAATGTGATCGGTAAACAACTTACTGTTTGCAAGTCAAGTACATGAAGATCATTGAAGAAACTATCATGAGAACAACCACCAAAAATTAGAAGGTAGTGTTCTGCGTGTACTGCAGCTGTGTGATCGAATCTGGGAGCTGGAGGTGTCTGCCTATCATAACACAAGAAAGTAATGCATAACTCTTTGAAAAGCACGGCATAGAAGTAGTTTCAAATAAAAGTATAAAGATACTTACATTGCTTCCACCACATCCCAGGTCATTGTCTCTAGATCCAGAATATTAACATCATTCCACAATCTTCTACTCCTGTCTTCTCCACCGAACATTATCAGTCTAGAACCAACCAGTGTTGTGGACTGCCCCCCACGAGCTACCTGAAATATAATTGGCATGCGTACCAAACAGTTTCATTTACCACAGAACAAAATCAAATATATTAGAGCAAACAAATTAGAGAAGGAATATCACATATTGAGATCCCATTATATGGTCTATTTTCACTTTGCAACATGTGGGCAAATATCACTTTGGCATCACAAAATTACTCGGGTGTTACAGTTGAAATGGATATAACATCCATGTGAAATGCACTTGCCTAGGGAAAGTTTATTTTATGCAACTTGACAAAAAATAAATAGCAAAGTGATAGCACAGGAGGCCAAAGTATAATTCACCCAACTTTGAAACAAAAATAAATAATAAATAATGAAACAGTTGAAAGGAAAAAGCACAAGGAAAAACATGGATTTGATCATCATACCGGAACTTTTCCTGAGGTCTCCAAGATGCCACAGAGGTGCGTTTCCAGATCAATGACCCACACTACAAGTCCATTAACATTGCATAAGGATTTAACAATATGGAAATTAAAGTGAACTATCAAATGTCTCAGGAGAGATCTACACTATCCATGAACTAACAATATGGCTGTTGAAGTAACAAACCTATTATTTTGTCAGACAATTTCTTCGAATTTCCACCAAGAAGAAGAATTTTGTTTCCCCACTTAACCTATTAAGACAGAAACAAAATTGTTCAACTGCCTACTGAAAACCAAACAAAAGGAGTATAGGGCAAATATAAACAAATAAATACACACAAACGCAAAAGATAATTGTGCACATGAATTTTTACCATATTATGAGCAGAGATGGCCGGAAGAACTTCCTGCAAGCCACTGTCTTCAAATTTATCGGAATTGGGTTTCAGTTTTATATTAGACCATAACAAATTTCTAAAGTCAAAGACCTGCAAGAAGAGTCCAATACTACATTACAGCAAAAGAAGGACCTCAAAGTCAAAAAGTAGTTGAGCATGTACAATACCTGAACATCGGATAGGTGCCTACCATTACGACTCCCACCAATAATGTATAATTTTTCATCGACTACTACAGCAGCATGCTACAGTGGAAAGAAAAACGGCATGGTAAGTATTTAGTCAACAATTTCTCCTTTTTTTTTCAAAACAAATAAAAAATATCTTTGTGATAGATAATGAGAGTACATTTCATTAAAGATACAAAAAAAGTTTGATTGTCCACTTGCCATCAAAACAAAAGCTTTTAATCTTACGAATCAAGGGGGAGAAAGAAAGTGGACTTCAGAAGATATTTCCCTTTGATTTAATCTTAGAGTTTCTTTAAAGTTGTAATATAGGTGTACCTTATAGCGAGCCGGTGGTCGTGGACCAGAAACAGGGAGTGCTTTCCACTGGTCATAGGCCAAATCTGTTTGCCAATTGCTGGCATTGACATCTTTCTTAATCTCCTCTGTTCCCATAGAAGCCGTCTGCAGGTGAACCAATTGTTTTGGCTTGCTTAAGATACAGATCAACAAGAGAGTGAAGGCTACTAAAATAAGTTCACAGATGGAACTTCCATAAAAAAAATTCTTTTCAAAAGAAACATATTCCTATTTGAGAGGATAGGAACAAAAAGCATCACCACTAGTTTCATTTCAGAAGCACCATGATACAGGCCCACTTGAAATTGTAGCCTATAGGAAGGAATCACCTAAAATGTAGCTATTGACATAGCAGAGCAATTTGAAAAGTGAAATACTAGTACTAGATGCATTAAACATTCTCTAGTGTAACACAGAGTATAACAAGCGAACAAAGTGACAGAAAGGAAATTATAGTGGTTTGATCATGAGCAACAAACGCCTGGTACTGTTTGCAGGTTTCTGTTTTTTTTTTTTTTGTATAACTTTTTTTGTTGTTGCTAACTTTGCAAATTGGAGGCTTCTACTTTGCAGGAGGCAGTTTTTTGTCATCATATTGAAAATTTGTACTATTACCTGCATTTATATTTGGCTTCAGTGACCACCTCGTCCTCTGTAATATCTGATTGCTAACATTAATCAAATTTTGTTTCTCATTATAAAAATTAAAATGAAAACAAAAAGACTGTTACTGCAATCAATATGGAGGATGATGCCTTTAAAATTGAAGACTCCCAAGAAAGAAAAGGAATGTGAAAAAAAATGGGACCATCATGGCAAAATGATTCATGATCTGAGATGATTGATAGTACTCTTATGAGAAAAATGCTAAGTTGGGAAAAATCTTCCTCCTTTCCTTTTTGTTTTCTCAGTTTAGTTCAATTGCACAAGTAGCCTAATGATAATGGTTTTCGAAGGGACTAACAGGAACAGCAATTAAGCTCTGTTTATATGAAATTATGAAATCTACAGTAACCATCAAGCATGCCACAGAAACTAAAGAATTTATCTTATTTCATATAAATTAAAATGACCCAAAACGGTTCTTATTGATCAGGATGATTTATCCAAATAACAATTCAACATGCTATTAGTTCTTTGCATGTAATTACACAACTCCCTATCTCACAACATACATTTCATCCACTTTGGCAGAACTCATCGAATAAAATCTTTGTAAACCTTGTTTGATTGACAGACATCATTTGACAAGCGTCTACATATATGATTTGTTGTGTATTTATTATTAGAATTCTACATATATGTGTTCAGCAACTTGCAAATTATACAGTGTTTAAGTAAAATTCACTATTTTCCAGCATAGAGCAACAATTAAAGAAGAAAATCAAGTACGAACAAAAATAAAAACTCATTTCACTTTTCAATCTTCCAAAACCAAAACCAACCCATCATAATTCACGTGAAATAAAGCTTAAACTTCCAAATTTCTACATAAAAAATCTCAGAAACCAAACAAAACTGTCAACATTCATCCATAAATCAACAAGCAGACAATTAAACCAGTAACTAAATAAAAAATTCATCCATGAAACGAGTTCAGATTTGATATGGAAAAAATGAGGAGAGAGGTTTATGCACCTGAAATTGTTAGCGAATACAATCGTTGAGGGGAGATCAGGGTCGAGATGGGCGGCCAGAGAGTTGGATCTGAAGGGCAATGTGAACGAGATCGGACGGTCAAGATTCGCTCATTCAGTTTGAAGGATCCAACACTAACGTTATGATCTCTGCATCAACAGGCGAGCAATTGCTCTGTGAGTGTCTCCGTACAGACAATGGAAACAGTAGAAGATTAAAGCCGACGTTTGGACTTGACGCATATTTCTTTTTAGGCCAAAAGTTACATTTTCTTCACTTTTCATCCCCTGTAGTTTCAATTTGATCAATTGTGGCTTGTAGTTTCATAATAATAGCAATTCAAGAACAAGTAACGAATTCTGTCAATTTCTTTCACAATGTCAAAGATATTTCCGTAATTATTGATTTTCACAGTGTTAAGGGAATTTTCGTCATTATTGATTTTCACAATGTCAAGGCTGTGATGATGAATGCAGGTTTATTTGTCTGATGTTGGCTATTTGGTTATGAAATTGGAATAAGAAAATTGAGATTAATTTCAAGGATAATCATATTTCTTTTTAGGTAATTATTATTATTATTATTATAGAACTAGAAATGGCATAAATAGACAAAATAACCCTGCTACTGTGAAAGAAATTGACAAAATTCGTGACTTGTCCTTGGAATTGCTACAATTATGAAACTACAAGGGCACAATTGACCAAATTGAAACTACATGGACGAAAAGAGAAAAAAAGGTCCATTACATGGACAAAAAATGACTTTTAGCCTTCTTTTTAAGGTTTTTTTTTAATCATGAATAGTCCTTGATCTTTTCTAAAGTTTTCATTTGAATCCTTCAACTTTATAATCAATCAATTTGGTCTTTAATGTTTTGCTCAACACATCAATATAGTCCATCTCGTCGCATTTTGTCAAAATATTCATTAAAATTTATTAGATGATCAACTTTAAAATAGTACTTTCATCAAAACACAACCTATCTACCCATAACAAAAAGTAAATCTCACGTATTTTGCTCAACAAAGCTATGTGCTCTCATTAATGTAACCTAAATGGAGAAAATATGATATTTTGGAGCAAAAATGTTAGTTTTATGACTAAAACCCTAAATTGTAATGAAAATGCCCTTCGACCCTAATGGGGGGAGATTTCGGGACCAAACGGGTATTGGATACGGGGATGCCCGAACTTGAAAATTCCCATACGAGTATGGGGAGGGGATGGTATTGGCGTCCCTATCCCCAAACCCGACCCGAACATATATATGTTTATATTTAAATAAATAAATATACAATTATAATATTTTTGTTTAATCCTAAGTTAACATCCATCTCCTAATTTTTTCTAATCTTCTTTGAAATTTCATATTGATGTGATTTTGAATAGTTAAGTTGAACTTTATAATTAATTTGGATGCGTTGAATGATAATTTAATATGAAACGTAATGTTAAAATGTATTATAAATATTTTTTATGTAAAAAAAAAATTGGGGATTTGGGGCGGGTATGGGGAATAGTCCCCCGACGGGAACGAGGATGAGGGTTCTCCGAAACCTATTAAACGGGGATGGGTTCGGGGATAGAGAGCGGGGACGGAGATGATATTGTCATACCCGGCCCCTATCCGACCCGTTGCCATCCCTAGTCACGTGATGACATGAAATTTTAAAGTCAATGAGGGCTTTTAAAAAGTTAAGAGACTATGTGTGATATAAAAAATCATTTGTATAAAGATTTCCTTTTATTAATTCAACAAAAAGGAGTGTAGTTAATAATTCACATACTTTTATATATGTATATATATATATATACATGTATATACTTTAAGGGGAATTATTAAAATAGTTTGTATTGATAAAAATAAGACATATTTTGGAAGTATTTTAATTAATTTCTACTATTTATTTTTCTAGACAAAAAGGAGTCTAGTTAATAAGACAGATTTGTTTCGCAAGTGGAAACCATGTTCCATAATGTGGGCCTGAAAAGGAATCTCAGTGGGGAACAAGCTTGCAATTTGGGCTCACCAAGAAAGAAGCACAAAAGCCACAATAAAGCAAATAACCCAGGATTAATCCGGAAAACTACAACGGAGAAGGCAACTACCCAAAGCAGCGAAAAATACAAGAGAAATTATTACAAGGCAAGGAAGCAAAATAATGGAGAGAGCAATACCACTAGACGAGTAGAGAACACGAAAAGGGATGTCTTTGTTGAAGTAAATCTCACTGAGGTCCGTATAACTCAAGCAAAGGGCTAGCCTACAACAACTGCATTACATCAGTGATCTACTTATTATGGAACTGTCAAGGCATAAAGTCGACCTTGACAGTACGAGCTCTCCGGGGGCTCATCCATAAATATCGGCCTACTGCTGTGCTCTTAATGGTGACCAAGGTGAGTAACAACAGTACGAAGAAGCTATGGTTGTCAACATGGGTTCTATGTCCCACCCATCCGAGCAACTGGGGGGCTCAGTCTATAGTGGAACAACTGTTATGACTTAGAAATAATTGCTTTCTCGAAAAACTGATATGAGAATGACGAACGGGAAAATTGGTATCCAATGTATAGCTACCTAGGTCTATGACACCCCATGCAGAGAAGAGAATGAGGACTTTTGGGGCAACATGAAGTCTGACTTCCCTTATACGAACCTTCCTTGGTTCTGCGGAGGGGACTTTAACGAGATCATGTGGTCTTTTGAGAAAAATGGAGGAATCAACCCCTCCCCTTATATACCAAGATTTCTCCAGGATTTTATAAAAAGGCTGAACTCCTGGACTTGATAGGGGGCTTGCGAACTTGAATTGGTAGGAACTCTGGCCAAACTCAATGATCATGCACCACCCTCTCATTAGATCCGATCACAATCCTATCATTTTGGAAACTGACCAGTCTTTCCAAAGAGGGAAGAAACTTTTCAAATTTGAATCCTATTGGGCAGAAGATGAGGAAGTAAGACAAATTGTGTAGAGAGGTTGGGCTTCTTAGGTTCAAGATCCGTCGATTGAGAAATGGAGACGTAAGCTTGAGACATGCTCTAAGCTCTTGCAACGGTGGAGTAAGGATAAGTTTGCGAATAATAAGAAAAAAAAAACTCCAAGAATTGTATGTTGCAGAAAAACAAGCCTGTTGGGAGAATAATCATGATGATATCAAAAGGATAATAGCTGAGATCAATGAGAATTGGGCCCGAGAGGAAAAATATTGGCACCAGCGGTCTCGAGTCAAGTGGTTAAAGGAGGAAGATGCCAATACTGCCTTTTTCACCATTCCACAATTGCTCGAAGAAGACAGAACATAATTGTAAGGATCAAAGATAACAACGGTCAATGGTACTCTGGAGATTATGAGACTCGATGTGTTTTTTAGGACCACTTCAAGACTCTCTTTTCCACCGAGGCTGCACATAATGAAGATGATATCTTATGTTGTGTGGATCATGTTGTTTCAAATTAAACCAACTATGCACTGTTGCAGGACATAATTGTTCAAGAGGTGAAGGAGGCGGCATTGCAAATGGATTCTCTCAAGGCACCCGGGCCAGACGGCTATCAGGGGATCTTTTATCAAAATTACTAGGAGATTGTCCACTAAGATGTCCAGGGCACTGTAGAGGAATTCTTTGCTGGGAGAACTAGCCGGGGCCCTAAATAGTTCCAATATTGTGCTTATTCCAAAGTCCCGAACCCGAAGAATGTTTTCGAGTACTGTCCCATCAGTCTATGCAACTTCTCTCTCAAAATTCTATCAAAAGTCATGGTGAACCACTTGAAACACTACCTTCCGCAGCTTATATCCCATACATAGAGTGCTTTCCTTCCTAACCAGCAAATTCAAGACAACATCCTTATTGCTCATGAAATCTTCCACCTTCTAAAACTGAGGAAGACCACAAAGCAATATGATTTTGGAATCAAGCTTGATATGAACAAGGCCTACGATAGAGTGGAGTGGAGCTTTCTTGATGCAATTATGCTTAAGATGGGGTTTGATCCTCTTTGGGTCAAACTAATTATGAGTCTCATTCGAACTGTGAAGTTTGCTGTCACCATTAATGGCAAACTTGGAAAAGCATTCACACCTTCCCATGGAATTCAACAGGTAGATTCCTTATTCCCATATTTATTTCTCTGTCAATGAGGCACTATCCCAATTAAAAAACATGTCATTCTAATTTATTACAGGGGCTAAAAATTGGGAGAAATGGTCCTACATCTCCCATTGTTCTTTGAAGATGATGGCCTTCTCTTCTTGAAGGCCAATCTTGTGAATTGCTGAAATGTGAAACAACTCCTAAATGGTTATTGTCGTGCTTCTGGCCAACGCATCAACTTTGATAAGTCATGCGTCTTCTTCAGCCTGAATACTCTAATGTTTATGCAAGCAGAGCTAAGCAATTGTCTTGGTATGACCCTTATTGTTGATCCTGGAAAATACTTGGGTCTTCCAACTTTTTGGGCAAGGTCCAAGCTTGAGGCTTTGACTTTTTAAAGGAAAGTTTGCTCAGGAAAGTTGGCGGTTGGAAACAACACCTTTTGTCTCAAGCGGGCAGAGAGATTCTTATAAAGGTCGTGGCCCAAGTGGTGTTGACATACCCTATGGGAATCTTCAAATTTCCAAAAACTTTTTGCCAAAAGCTGAAAATGGAGGTCGCACGGTTTTGGTGGGGTTAAAAGGAGAATGAAAGAAGAGTGCATTGGGCTAGTTGGGCAACTCTAAGCTTACCAAAGCAAAGTAAGGGGCATGGGTTTCCGTGACTCCCATGAATTCAACTTGGCCGTTCTCACCCGCCAATGCTGGAGACTTATTATTGAACCTAGTTCCCTTTGGGCAAATTGATTAAAGCTTGTTAATTCCCCATCGACAACTTCCTTGTAGCCCAAAAAGAAGGACGACCCTTCTGGGCTTGGGCAAGCTTCATTGAAGGAAGGAGAATTATTTTACAAGGAGCTAGATGGTAAATTATGAATAGTTCTCGTGCGGCTATGGATTGATAGATGGGTCACAACCATTCTTTGTGGGCAGCTGTAACCTCAACTCCAAATCAATGATGCCAACATGAAAGGGGAAACCATCATTAACTGGGACTCTAGGACTTAGAATCTAGAACCAATCAGAGGCTTTATAACAAATGAAGAGGCTACGATGATTCAATGCATCCTAATTGGAAATATAAGA